GTCTCCGGCTACAACTACGGTCGCTGCGTGCATCTCCGCCAGTAGCTTCGGGCACTGCACGTATGCATCTCTGTCTGCAGCTTCGATAGCACCGGGCTTCACGGCCTCCGGATACTGCACGCATCTCCACCGGCAGCGTCGCAACTACACTGGCAGCTTACGTCGGGTTACGTCGGCCATCTTCGCCTATTGTGAAGGTATACTATTTTATGCTTAGTATGCTACAGACGAGCACCGTCGGCGCCAATTAGCCAGTTTACGCGGGATAGTCTCGTCCTCCAGCGCCGCGAGCTGTAGATTCGTATGATTACGTGTAAGTATATATGTTTACTTGTTTGATTTGTTTAAACTTTATTCTAATGTTTACTATTTATAATGTAATGTAATTGTTATATAATTAATCTTACCTTTTTATATTGTTTAATAATTGAATTCAGAACTGTTTAAAATTATACTACAACTGATAATATTTTATTGCAGCTTGCCTTTGAAATAATCTTTTATATAATTCATAATTTTGTTTAAGAAGTCTTTTTCGTTTGTAACGATTGTAATTATAGTAGATAGAAATTTAAAAATATATTGTTTACAGATTTAAGAAATGATAACAGTGAGGTAAATGTGCTTATACTGGCGCCATAGTTAATGTAATTGTTTAATCCACATTTGTTTTAGAATGTTAAAAGGTAATTAATATTTTATATTACTATAGTTATTCTCGTTAACAACTAAACTTTATACCAAATAAGATTTTCCGAAAATAGGGTGTGCTAACATTGTCCACAGGTGGTTTTAGGTTTTATGACGGCCTGGTGAAATAACTAAAACTGGTCATAAATAATACACAGAAGGCAAGAAAACTAAAGAAACACGAAATTGTAAGAAAAAATTAAAATTAATACAATTAATGAATGAGTCGTGAATAATTTTGGAAAAAAATCAAAAGGAGTTTAAAATAACGACAAAAGGCGCGTAGTTTTCAAGATCGCCTTACATGGTATACGAATGTACCTACGATATCTTTTAGAAACCTTTGTAGAAAAGAAGTCAACGAAGATAAAGAACGAGGTGGCAACTTTATGCATACACCAGTATATGAAAAGAAAGATTAAATCCAGAAAATGTTTTTAGTACCATGGGATAGCAAATACGGATTATGTTTTTACTTTAGATAATGAACGGTGTTTAAAAGAAATTTAACGTTACAACTTTAAATGATACTACTTAACTAAAGAAGATCCACGAACCACTATCGAAAATCGACAATACAAAAAAAAATAACAATACAACCAAAAAAACATTAACGATAATATCGAGATAAAGTAGACTGTGGCTTCTAACACAGTGAGAAAAGACGGCAAATACGACCATGACCAAAAAAAAATGCTACTTAGATAGTAAAGTAAGACGGCGACGTCGAACACGAAGAAGACTGCGACTTTGAACACAAAGAAAGAAGACTGCGACTTCGAACACGAAGAAGATTAAATTTGTAGACGAAGGAGACGATGACGTATAACACAAAGCAAGAAGAAGACGCCGAAGAACATAAGGAAAAGAAAGACAAAAAAGAGCTGAAAATGTCATTATAGGAAGTCGTCAACAAAAACAGAATGAAAATAAAGAAACTGTAACAACAGAATCCCGTTCGATTATGCATGGCAGGTCAATGAAAAAGCCTCAAGACCAACTATAAAAAAATGATGGAAGATGAACACTCATGAATCCTGAAACTCGAAGACCAAAAACGTAAAACTTAGACAGAAGACAATTCTTTGATGCTTTTCTTTCTTTCCTTGAAACAATTTTTTAGTCCAAAGATGAAAGACTGAAGCTTGAAGATAGAAGACTGAAGACTGAAGCCTGAAAATAGAAGACTGAAGCCTGAAGATAGAAGACTGAAGCCTGAAGATATATGACTGAAGCCTGAAGATAGTAGACTGAAGCTTGAAGATAGAAGACTGAAGCTTGAAGATAGAAGACTGAAGCCTGAAAATAGAAGACTGAAGCCTGAAAATAGAAGACTGAAGCCTGAAGATAGAAGAATGAAGCCTGAAGATAGAAGACTGAAGCCTGAAGATATATGACTGAAGCCTGAAGATATATGACTGAAGCCTGAAGATATAAGACTGAAGCTTGAAGATAGAAGACTGAAGCCTGAAGATAGAAGTCTGAAGCCTGAAGATAGAAGACAGAAGACCGGAAGCCCGGATGGATAGATAACCGAAGATGGCCGAAAAATGAAGACGTAGCCCGAAGATGGAAGATTGAAGCCCGAAGACCGAAGAGGGAAGACCCGAAGCGCGAATAAGGAAACCCGGAGCCCCAATAAGGAAACCCGAAGCCCCAATAAGGAAACCCGAAGCCCCAATAAGGAAACCCGAAGCCCGAATATGGAAGACGAAGCCCGAAGACTGAAGACCGAAGAGGGAAGACACGAAGCCCGAATAAGGAAACCCGAAGCCCGAATAAATGAAGACGAAGCCCGAAGACTGAAGACGCGAAGCCCGAATACTGAAGACGAAGACCGAAGAGGGAAGACACGTAGCCCGAAAAAGAAGGCCCGAAGACTGAAGACGCGAAGCCCGAATACTGAAGACGAAGACCGAAGAGGAAAGACACGAAGCCCGAAAAAGGAAGACCCGAAGCCCGAAAAATGAAGACGAAGCCCGAAGACTGGAGACGCGAAACCCGAAGACTGAAGACGCGAAACCCGAAGACTGAAGACTAAGACCGAAGAGGGAAGATACGAAGCCCGAAGCCCAAATAAGGAAGACCCGAAGTCCGAAAAAGGAAGACCTGAAGTCCGAAAAAGAAAGACCCGAAGCCCGAAAAATGAAGACGAAGCCCGAAGACTGAAGACGCGCAGCCCGAAAACTGAAGACGAAAATCGAAGAGGGAAGACACGAAGCCCGAATAAGGAAACCCGAAGCCCGAATAAGAAAGACCCGAAGCCCGAAGACGCGAAGACGCGAAGACGCGAAGACGCGAAGACGCGAAGACGCGAAGACTGAAGACTGAAGACCGAAGACTGAAGACTGAAGACGAAGACGAAGACGAAGACGAAGACGAAGACGAAGACGCGAAGACTGAAGACGAAGACTGAAGACGAAGACTGAAGACGAAGACTGAAGACGAAGACTGAAGACGAAGACTGAGACGAAGACCGAAGACGAAGACCGAAGACGAAGACCGAAGACCGAAGACCGAATAAGGAAGACGAAGCCCGAACCATGAAAACAAAGATTGAAGATTGAAGCCCGAAGACTGAAGACGCGAGGCCCGAATAAGGAAGACGGATGAGCCGAAGTCCGACACCCAAAAACTGAACACAAAGTCCGAACAATGAAGACGTTACCCGAACTCGGAAGACCCGAAGCCTTAAAACGGAAGACTTAAAGCTCGAAGACGAAAAACCGGAGCCCGAAGATCCGAAGATCCGAAACCCGAAGACGGAAGATCCGAAGCTCCAAGCCTGAATAAGGAAGTCCTGAAGCCCGACGACGGAAGACCGAATGAATAAGAAAGAATGATGACCGAAGACGAAAGACTGAAGACAAAGCCGACAACTGAAGACTAGGCCGAAAAGAAAGTCGAAGCTCACTAACTGAACATGAAGACCGATAAGTAAAGTCCACTAACTGAACATGAAGCCCGAAAACTTAATATTGAATCCCAAAAACCGAAGACGAAGCCCGAAAACTAAAGACGAAACCTGAAAATCGAAGACGAAGCCCGAAAACGGAAGACTAGAAGCTGGAGCCCGAATAACGAAGACACGAAGCTCGGATAAGGAAGATGGATGACCGAAGACGAAGCCGACAACTAAAGTCAACAAAGCCCACTAATTGAACATAAAGCCCGAAAATTGAAAATTAAAGAACGAAAACTGAAAGCGAAACCCGAAAACTGCACATAGAGCTCGAAAGACCTCCACAGTGCGAATGTTGTAACCAATAAGTCACTATTGGAACCACCATTGGATGAGATCTTTAGTCACCAAAGAAAACTCGTAATGCACTATATGAAGTTTAAAAATAAAAGAACTAATCTGTAAAAAATAAAGTTACTTTTTGAAATGCCCTCTTTTATTTAATGTTATTAATAATAATAATCATTTAATCTATTCAAAACACTAGCAACACTTTCAAAAATTAGAAAACACTGAAAATAAAAATTTAAATATAAAATTTTACCAATTATAACTAAAAGTATTAACATGCAAAATTATACAGATGGTTATAAAATGTCGTACACTGAATAGCTTGTTTTTTTCTCATTCAATTTGATTATTTTCAGTGAGATAAAATGGAGAACCGTACCATAGCGAATTTATACCACTTACTAGTAAAATGCACAATTTAGTTCCTTGCTTAAATAGAGACCTCCAGAACGAACCTTAGTCTATTGTAGTGGCGCATAGGTCTTGGCAACCGGCAATTTTTTTGAATTAAAAATGTAGAATGTCAGCTCACTTCACGCAAGTAATTACGTTATGATATTTATTATATCTTGCATCTATTGCAAGGTGAATGTGTAGCAATTTATTAATTAAAGAAATCTAACTCCCAAGGGGACGCATGCATTAGTTTTGTGAAGTTAGATGACCTTAATAGTTATCGTTTAAGCGCTAAGTATGTTGTGGGAATTTCTATGTATATATAATGTATGGAATTTTTTTTTAAGTATCGGAAAATGAGATTTCTGTCCAAAATTCTAAAATTTACCAGTATGTCCAAAATAATGGCTATTCCATTGATTTCGAATTGCAGCGACCGTACCCATAAACCGTACTAAAGTACACGTACTTCTTACAAATGCATTTTACTAATCTAAAGAGAAGAATTCCCTTAAAATGTGAAAATTACTCTTGCTGGTAACCCGAACTGCTCATAAAAGCCCTCTTTTCAATGTCAAAAAGATGGCACAATATCCTGTAGCACTATACTTTCGTCTTTAATTCAAAAAAAATAAAAATCGATTCTCATTAATCTCAACTCGACGATTTACATAAAAAAGTGTAAAACCTGTACATGCTTTTTTGGCAGCTGGCAATTTTATAAAATAAAAAATGTATTTTAATGTCTGGGGGTAACTAACTTGTCAGTTTACTTCGCGTCTTTATTTACCAGTCTTTACTTTACTTATTTGTGTAAGTTTTTTTTATGTTATTCCATGAAATAAAGTACTTAAAAGTCTTGCAAGAGTTTTTTTAAAGTGGAAGATATTTTTATCGCTGTGAAGTAGAGGGGCCCAGTAATTACATTTGAAAATGTGTATTATCTTGTGTCTGTTGCAATCAGAATTTGTTACCATTTCTTAATACAAGAAAATCTTACTGTCAGGGCGACGCATATTTTTATGTTTGTAATTTTTAAAAAAATGTTATATGCTAATTGACTTAAAAATGTTTTGCTCAAAGTTGTTTTATTACCCATTTCAAATTGCAGTGACCGAAACCTTAATTGTAACGTGTTTTGTGCAACTGCAAGTATGGTCTTCGTGACATAAATTACATATTTACTTACATAATAAGGAAATTACTGTGTGTACTCAGTAATGTATCAAAAGCAAACTGCTAATTTTAAATTGCATAGTTCAAACGACGGGGCATACCACATAGTTTGTACTGTGCGTTGATTGTAAACAACATATAATCATTAAAATTTCTATTATTCTGGAGATGACGCTAAGTAAGACAATTCCTATTATGTTGAGACTATTCCTTTCCTAACTGTCTCAAGTTAGTGCATTGATAAAAGTTTGCCTTCTCTTTTGTCTTTGTCTTCTCACCGACAAACGAAGTCTGGGGCATTTCCTAGTTACATTGAAAGGTACAAGTGCTTCCTTTGCAATTTGCGTTTTCGTTTTCAAAAGGTAAGAATTCTAGTGATGGGACTCGAGTGACTCGAGTGAAATTTTTGACAACCCGAGTTGACTCGAATTACGAGTGACTCGTAACCATTTTGTTGGTTTATACTAAGCGGAGTAAGAAATTTTTACAGCATTTTCAGTTAAATTTGTTATCTTTTTAAAAACACACTATTTCTGTTCTTTTGTAGAGTTTATTTAAGCTTTGTTTAAGTAAATTTTAAAGCATGTTTATTATCAAAATTGTGTAAGAACATAATCAAACTGTTAAAATTTGGATCTCATGAAAATTGCTTGTAAGAATTTATTAAAATGAATTAGAACTTATTTATAGTACACTATAAAATTTCTACTAATAGATGATATGAGAGGTGTCTTGATTATGTAGACAGGATTAGTTTAAAGGAAAACACTGTTTTTACACATTTTGTATAGATTTTTTGAGTAACTTTTACGTTAATGCGAAAATAATTTCTTTATGTTAAATTAACATTGTTTTATTGGTTTTAAAATTTTGGTTCCTCGATTTTCATATTCCGAGTGACTCGCGTCTATAAACATCACTCGAGTGGCATTCGAGTGAGAAAGTTACGAGTACCGAGTGACTCGAGTGAAAAAAAATCACTCGAGTCCCATCACTAAATTTCCTTCTAATGTGGACGTATTACCCTGCTGGTAACCCTAAATGCTGAGGCGCCATCCTGTCAATGTCATAAAGGAACCACAACCACAAGAGCCTTGTGGCACTATATACGACCAAAGAGATGACATTTTGACAAGAAACCTAAATAACGAAATAAAGATTAAAGTTACCATTAAATACTATATAAATAATTTCAACATACATTAAAAGATTTGCACATTATTTTTAAAGTAAATATTTTAGTTATGTCATATCAATTGTACAGAAACACCACAATCGGGAATACGCTTCAAGAAAGCCTCGATGAACTTATACAAGTAAGTAAATCTTTTTCCAACTCTTGTATTGTGTATAAGAAAAAATATAAAACTTGGGTAGAAATCCTCCACCAGTGGTACATGAAAAGACGTTACCAATTGAGACAGCGATGAATGTGACTTCTTATTTATGTTATAGATCCGAAAGTTTAGATCGATGGATGGATGGATGGAAGTTTGTTAAAATTTGTAACCTGAATAAACGGCTGACCAAATTTCGATTAAATTTGGTTAAGATATAGATAATACTTTGGAAGAACACATAGGCTACTTACTTTCTTTTTTTTTGATTACACGCGGACGGAGTCGCGAGCAAAGTTAGTAAATGATAAATGCTATTCAATCACATTGTCACATCAAGAAAATTTTATTAATGTTTTAACAATGTTCTCATATATTTGCATACTTTAATTTCGTTTTTTTCCAGTATGGCCAAATAACTCCCAATCTAGCCATTAAAGTTTTATTACAGTTTGATAAGTCTATTAACCAAGCGCTTTCAAGCCGAGTTAAATCTAGACTTACTTTTAAAGCTGGAAAATTGAATACATATAGGTAAGAAAAATAATTTTTATAAAATTTATTTATTATAACATTTTACTGTAAATTTTAATAATTTTAATTAAACTGATAGCAGTTTTGTGTTAAATATTACAACCCACTACAATTTTCACATGAAAGTGAGCTTGTAAGGTATTCAGTCTTACCGAATGTGTTAACATGTTGTCATCATCATCTCCCCTGACTTATCCTACTCCCGTAGGGTCGACAAACCGGGTTTTCGTCCTCCAAAGCACTCTATCAACCGTTATCTCAGTCATCACTCCCTTCTTGATCATGTCACCTTTCACGCAATCCACCCATCTCTTTCTAGGTCTACCTCTACCGATGTTCCCCTCCACCTTCATAACTAACATCCTTCTTGTTACATGCGATTCATCCCATCTCGTAACATGCCCCTACCACTCTAACCTTTTACTCCTTATTTTCTCAACCACCACAATGTGCTAACATGTTGTACAGGTAAGAAATCTGAGGTGTTCTACTTTGGGAAAAATTGCCTTGTTAATTGAAACTAGTCAAACTGGAACATACATAACAATAAGTGGTGTAAACGAAGGGATAATAATATATAGAAACTAACTGTGTATCACTAACTAATCAATTGTTTAGGTTTATGTTCCGCATGTTGTTTCAAAATTTTACCAAAATTGCAGCTTTTTATTTGAAACACCACCAGTTTTCCCTATTGTACAAATTGTACAATACAGAAAACATGTTTTTTGTTGTAAATAACTTTTATACTTTCACATAGGTTTTGTTTCATAGAAATTTAAGGATATTTTGTCCCTTTGCTATATTTGTTGACTCAACAAGTTGGAACATGTTTGTCAATTGTTTCAGGTTTTGTGATAATGTTTGGACATTCATGTTAAATGATGTGGAGTTCAGGGAAGTTCAAGAAATAGCAAAAGTGGATAAAGTAAAAATTGTTGCTTGTGATGGTAAAAGTGAGTCGCAGATTTGTTTACTTTATGGAATGGAGAAAGTGCCATTTTAAATATGACTCACTAATTTATTTCTTTTTCCAGATGTTGATGACAGAAGATAATACTAAATATGGAGAGACAGTTACTATTTTGATATTAGCCATTTGTGGATGATTTTGCTTAAAGTTATATCTGGACATAATTATTAAAATGCCTGTGTACTGATTAAATGATTCATATGACTTACTTTGTATTTTATTTTAAATAACTTGCATGACTTAATTTAGTTTGAGGACCATTGAGGTGCTGTGTGATTCCTGTATTAAAAATATTGGTAAAAAAACATGGTTTTTGAGAGATGTCCCTGTGACCATATGATTGTTATTTTATATGCATTAGTTTCATATCAATTGGTAAGCATCTTTATGAGTAATCCACACTTTAACACCCAATTGTCTTAAGAAAAGTCCAAGATATTTGGTAGAGATTTGACATAGTTTTTTTCCTTTGATACCCTACTCTATCCATAAAATGTAGGTAATGCATCTGTCTCCATTCTTTTATTGCAAATAATATATTTTATGGTCTACAGTATTTTCGATACTGTAGCAAAATCCGGTAGTGCCTTGTTTATATCCAGTTAATGTTATCAATAAAAAATCCCAATATAATGGTATTTTTTAATATTATTTCTTACAAAACTGATTTATAAGCTTTACATGTTATATATTAATATTATATTGTTTATTAAAACAGATCATAAATTATAATATGTAACAAAATATAGCTTCTAAAAATATTACAAAATAGCAGTTTTTATTACAATGTTATTTCAAAAATTATTAAAGATTGTTTTACATCACATGAAAACCCGTTAACCAGTCAAGGTTTAAAAACTATGCATCCATCATTGTAGGATACATTTGACATGGAGTATTTTCATCTTTTTTTGCAGGTGGCCTTGAATGGAACTATACATTTCGGTAAGTTACGATATACCGTCCAGCCAAGTTATTAGACAAATACAATACATTCTTAATTTTTCAGCTGGAAAATATAAATTAATTTAGCTAACCATTAGTCTTTTTTATAATTAAGGCGAATGCATCCATAAAATGAGAAATCAATTCTTTCAAATGTTTTATTAAACAAATAATTTTATTTACAGTATGTAATTTCTTATAAATGGATACAAAACGATTACTTTCTTCATGTCCGTCGTAATTTAATTCCTAGCCATGGCTATTTTATCAAACAGATAAGAAAATAATTTATCACTAAGTGTAAACAACAATAATATACCCTCAAAACTTCAGTATTTGGTTCAAAGTATAAAGCAATTGTGTTTGTGCGATAATAGAAACGAAATCACATGTTTGTCCTGAGTTGATGACACTCGCGTATTAATTTTATCAAGAATGTAGTTATTATGAACTCAAATTAGTTAAAGACTAACTTTTCCCTACCCAATGACCATTTCTCCAGTCCCTTCCAATACACATTAAACTATTATTATTATTATATGTTAAAATATTTATGGCTAACTAATAGATAAATTTCCCTATAAATCGCAGTATACAACTAAAAATACCAAATACAATAACGACAGCTTGATTTTGTAACGAAACAACCGTTGACGATAATACTAACTGTATTAGCGTTATTGTAAATGGTAAAATCCTAAACCCGTTACCGTAAATACCAGAAATCGATAAGGAACAAAAGATTTGTCCTAAAATAACATAGAATAGAATTGGAAAGCTATAAAAGATTTAAACAAGGTACAAGCGGTGTTAGACGATAAGTTTCCACCTTAATACGATAATCCCTTGTCTGTATTTGATTTATGCAAAATAGGATGGAGGCGACGTGAGGTCCGAGAGTAGGTCTAGTTCCTGTTCAGTGAGCTGGTCGCGGTGCTTCTGCCAGTCGTCCTGGTGCGTCCTGCGGAAGTCTGCGAGCGCGGTGCGTATGGCGGCGGGCACGGGGTCC